TCAAGCCTGAAATCACCTGTCCCAGTACAAGCCATCAATGCTGCTGAGCACCTCAGAGGCTGGAGAGAATCACCAGCAACTGATCTTTGTGGGACTGGGTTAAACTTTCAGATGTGTTTAGGGTGTACTCTGTCATCCACGCCCCATTCCTGCCCCTCTGGCCTGGAGAAGTTCCCTGAAGCCCAAGCCTAGTAATTAGTTCAAAACCCCAGCCCTAGCAGGGATGCTTAAGTTTCTTGAGTATCCCTGAGAACACAGTGCCCTGTGTTCTGCCTCCAACCACAGCAATCTGCAGAAGGGTCAAATAACCCAAGAGCTCAGCTGCCAGAGTTTAGAACAAGGGAGAGAAATTTGTTCCTGATCCCTGCAGGCTGCAGTGGAATGTGCAGGGAACCACATACATAGCACAGACGGTTCACATGGCACACACATGGCCCAATGTGTCCTTTCAGATCTTCTTCTAAAGACCAACAAGTTTGACCCAAGGGGTAAGTTTCAGCTCCTGACTTGGAAACCACCCTTGCTCAGTCCCTTCAGTACCATTCCCAGCATCCTCTCAAACCACTTGCTCCTGTCTGAAAATTGTCCCAAGACAGCTGTTCTTGGATACCTCCACCTAATTTTCAGTCTACACTAGTGAGCAGTTCTTTCTTTTTCCTTGGAGTTTTGGAGGGTGCTGAAATCCTGACACAGGTTGCTCAGAGAGGTGGTGCAGGCAGCATTTGTGGACTCATTCAAGACCAGATTGGACAGGGCTTGGAGCAATATGATCTAGTTGAACATGTCCCTACCCACGGCAGGAGGTTGGACTAGATGACTTTTAAAGGTCCCTTCCAATCCAAAACTTCTAGGATTCTATGATCTTCCAGGTGAGACCACCCCAGTACCTTGCTACTGATCTGTTTGTGTCCCTCCCCCAAAACACATCCCAGGCATGATGATTCCATGCTCCCAACCCTGCACGTCTCGCTGTTGCCATTGGTGGGGTCATTCCAGGACTGAGGTGGGGAACAGTGCTGGAACCATTTCTCTGCTCAGACAGCCCTCTAATACAGCCCATCATTTACTTGGTTAGCTGTTTCCTCCTCTTGCTATATCCACAGCCATGACTTCCAGCACTGGTAAGTGGTTCATACTGGGTGCAAACCTAACCAGGCTAAATCATCATAAAAGCACAGATTCATAGAATGGTTTGGGTTGGAAGGCACCTCATTCCAACTCCTGTCATAGGCAGGGACACCTTGCACTAGAATGCTCTGCATCCCCTTGTCCAAGTTAATAATCAAAGAAAAAATTGTTACATTATCCTGAGACAATGTGTCTGTGATAAAATCTGTCTCCATTTGCTTTTTTTACCTGGAATCTGGGTTTCCTTCAGAAAAACCTTAGAAAAATATGAAAGTCTAGATATGTTTGAATCCCTCTTTTCCATTTTCTGGTTGTGAGAGGCACATTTGCTGCATTTGCTTGCAATTTGAGCCCTATCCACGTTATCCTAAAGCTGGCCCTTCCTTCATGGGGAAAGGACATTACTCCTTTTCTCCCTGATCTCATGCAGCCCCTCCTGCATTCCCAGTGTGTCCTCAGCCAGTGGCTGTGCTCAGGCATTCTCTGCCTTTCCCATCTTGCTCAGCTGGATGACCCACACATTGTAAATCTTCCTCTTAATTCCCACCATAAACACGTGCATGCTGAATTTTTCTCCATTCAATGGCAAGCTCCAATCTGTGCCTCTGTGGGACCAAGGGGCTCGCTGCTCACGTCCTGTTTCCCTGTTCCCAACGCCTTCTGCACATCCACAGCACGCTGTGATTTACTGCCCGTGCGTTGCAGCCTCTGCACAGGCCCAGCAGGCCCTGATTTACTGCTCACACCCAGGGCTTCTTCTGCGCAGCCACAGCATGCCTGGCTTTAGTGTGCTCTCTCTGACTGTGCACAGCGTGTCCTGATTCACAGGGAAGGCTCCTTCATCTCTTTGCCTCCACGAGAGCAACATCTGAGCAACCCCCAACTCTAGCTGCTAATTCATGGTAAAGATTGCAGGCTCTGTGCTGCACTTAATTCCTTTTTCATTCTGCACATGCAGGATGTCAGAACCTTCCCTGCCCCCATCTGCTCAGCTCTTCTCATAACTGTGTCCTGCAAGGGCTGAGGTGCAGCCTGGCATCACCATCCCGCGCTGTCCTGGCTCATCCTGCTCTGGAAACTGTGGACTGAGCAGTGACTGGGTGTTAAAAGTCCTGCCAGAGGTAATGGAGGGTGTCTCTGGCAAGCAGCAAGACCCAGTGTCCTGCCCAATATCATTTAGGTCAGAATCCCAGGTGCCACCAAACTGCAGCTCCAGTAAGCGAGGTATTTTCAGGGGATGTTTATGGGTTCCAAAGGACTTCCTCTACTGACTTGTTGGACTGGGAGAGCAAAAGGGGGAAACTGGGAGATCAGAGCCCCCAGAAATGCTTCAGAAGGAACCTTGAAGTTCAGAGGAGAAGGTTGTCAAAGTTGCAGTCTGTGCCCATCCAGGCTTACACCAAGAAATGTGGGGAAGGTGTGCCCCACAGCCATGGCTACAGAGGCCTGTGAAGGAGGCACAGGAGGGGTAGGGTCTGCCATCCCTTGCCCTGGAAAGGTCTCCAGCCCTCTTTGTGATGCTGGTAACCACAGCATGCAGGGAGAGCTGCCAGCTGGAACAGGCTGGGGCTGGGAAGGAGGGAGGTACAAGTTGAAACTTCTGTTTGTTGTAGGGAAGGTGGTTCCAGTTTTTTTTTTTTCTCCAGAAAAGGGCTGAGCTAAAAAGCACCTTGTCCTCTTCTACTGTGACTTGTAGCTGAGCTCTCAGGTGCCACAGGCTGGGGGAAGTGGTCCAGGTGGGACCAGGGAGGTTTGGAGACCGCATCACCCACAAAATGAGGGCTCTTGCCCTTGCACTTGACTTCCAGCCTGTCCCAAAGGAATAGGTACATTATACACCAGAGCTGGCAAGAGAGCAAGCACTGAGATGTTCCTCAGTCCCCTCTGCATCACAGACCCTGCACTGCCCCACTCGGCCGAGGGTCCAAACTTCGGGACAACCTCAGGCTCTGTGTCTCTGGTGCTGTCAGCCTCTCAGACAGCCGGGTAATTCGTGCTGGCAGCTGGAAACGCCACCATCTCTGTCCCTGCTGGGCTGGTCCCACTAGAGGCCGTGAGCAGCAGGATCCTTCTTCATCATCATCCGCCTCATTCCCGTCTCGGCAGCTGCAGTAAATCTGCTTGTCAGCGGGGCCTGTCGGGACACATGGTCTGGTCACCTGTGGCAGGGGATGATTTTGACACTCGCGGGTTGCTCGGGGTGTGGAGTGGGAGGGTCTCTCTCCTGGTGTAGGGGTGGGCCGGGGTCTCTCCTGGCGGTACCGGGGGGACACAGTGACTCCCCTGCTCTGCTCTCCCTGCGGCAGCGCAGCTGGTCTGGGTGTGCTGGGACGGGAGGAGCGGGGACAGCCCATCTCTCCCCCCGCGATGGCAACAGCTCATTTCCATTTAGATAGAGGAATTTCAATCTCAATTTGCCGGCTTCTCGTCTCGCTGCGACTCAAGACCCAAATTTTCAATTTTCTTCCCCACGCCACGCCAGATGCTCTCGGGGCTTGGGGGCGGCTGGGAGCGAAAACGCGGGGGATGATGCGTTTGTGGCTCCGCGGGTCCCGCGGCTCCTCCGCACCCTGACCCGCGGCACCGCCCGGAGCGCTCCCAGCGCCCCTCGCTGGCCCCGCCCTGGAGCACAGGAGACACCGGCGGGGACAGACAGACACCGGCGGGGACAAACAGACACGGCAGGGACAGACACGGCACCGGCGGGGACAGACACAGGGACCGGTGGGGACAAACAGACACGGCAGGGACAGACAGACACCGGCAGGGACAGACACAGACACCGGCGGGGACAAACAGACACCGGCGGGGACAGACAGACACCGGCGGGGACAGACGGACGCCGGCAGGGCCGGGGTGGAGGCGCTGCCCTGTTGCGGGGGCTGGAGCGCGGCTGCCGCCTGCCGGCAGCGCCGGGAACAGCAGGGCCGTGAGAGGGCGGGGCGGGGCCAGAGGGGGCGTGGCCATTCAGCGAGGGGCGTGGTCTGGCCGTGAGGGGGCCCGAGCTGGCGGGGGGCGTGTCCGTGCCGTGAGGGGCGTGTCCGTGCCGTGAGGGGCGTGTCTCCGTCGCGTCGGAGGTGGCGGTGGCGGCCATGGCGGCGGTGTCGGTGTCGGAGGCGCGGCTGCGGCGCAAGCAGCTCCTCAGCGCGGAGGAGGCGGAGCTGTTCGAGCTGGCGCAGGCGGCGGGCAGCGGGCTGGACCCGGAGGTGTTCCGGTGAGCGAGCGGGGGGCAGGCGGCGCGGCTCCGCGGCAGCTCGCGGGTGCCGCCGCGCTCCCCACCTGACGGGCGTCTTCCCTTCAGGGTGCTGCTGGACCTGCTGCGCATGAACGTGGCGCCGCTCGCCGTGTTCCAGGTGCTGAAGTCGATGTGCGCCGGGCAGCGGCTGCCGCCGGGGCCCGAGGGCGGCCCCGCCGCCACAGCGCCGCTCCCCGCGGACTCCCGAGGTACGCGCCGGGCCGGGCCGGG